GGGCCTGATCGTAGGCAAGCAAGAGAAGCTGCGTGGAATGTCTTTACTACAAAACATAAGCTTGCCATCGCAAACCCCGGCCTCCAGGGCAGTCAGGCTGTGGAAGTCGAGCTGCCCCTGCGGGGGAAGACAGTGCTTATCCGACCAGGCGATACCCACCACCACCCGGCGGGAGGCGCGTCAAGGGCTATTGACTTGGTCCTAGCTTCTCAGCGCCTTGTTCTCAATGTCACAATACACAACTCCTTGCAGTGCTGCAGTGAGTCTCAATGTACGCTGCCCCTGTGCCATGAGTACACCAGGGGAGACCACTTCCTTGTGCATGCTGATTTGAGCGAGCTCTTTTTGCTCCCAGAGCGGACTGACAACTCCTGCATGCCAAACTGGCTCCATGATGAAAAACGCTGGAATGATGCGTGGAAGGCCTGTGCAACGACACTGGGCTGCTTTGCAGAAACGCTTGATGCTGTGCTTGGAAACGCCGCAGGCTACAAGTGTTGCCAGTGCCTCCCGCGCCATGCTGCGGTGTGGTTGGGCAATGCGGCTGCATGGGTGCACGCGCTCTTGGGTGCTATTGCGCTGGACGGCTGGGTGGTTCGTCCAAAGAAAGAAATACCAAGGTGTGCCAAAACCAAATTGCCTGCAGACGACAATGTCCTGTCTGCGCATCCGTGGCTTGCCACTTTGGGCAAGCAATGCGACAAAGGGGAGGCCCCCTGTGCTCTAGCCCAGAGATGCTTCAGACTCCTAAAGGCGGATGAAATTCGGCCGCCGCAATGGCTACTTAGTGGTGAAGAGACCTTGACGGGTGAGTCTGCGCACAAGGAGTGGTGCAAGGCTTTCGTGAACCAGTCTTCTTGGCCCAACAACTGGGCCCTGGACGTCCATGAGCACATAACACATGAATGCAAGGTGCAGAACCCGCGCTCCTGGTCCAAACGTGGCAAAGGCAGTTTGGACCAGACAGTCACTGCTGTCGAAACTCAACATGTTCTACAGAACTGGGACCGCTCGCGAGCCACCACACCCGACCTCATACCTAGGGCAGCCTACGCGGTGATGTCCAAGGCGTGGGGTGATGTGTGCTTCCTGCTGGTGAAGCTGACAGGACCTGGCTGCCTGGCTCTTAAACCTGACCTTTGGCGCCGCTCTCTCGTGGTTCCAAAACACAAGCAAGGCTTCCTGGCCCTGGCCTCAAATTGGCGCTTTCTGGAAGTCAGGTCCCAAATTGCCTTGCTACACGAGTCTGTGTTCATCAACCGCCTACGTCCTCTTCTCACCAACGCTCTTGTTCCTGGACAATCGGGCTATGTGAGGGACGTCTCTGACGCCCACCTTTTGCTCCACGAAGTGGTGACTACGAGGCTGAACATGGGTCTGCCAACGTTGCCTGTCTTCGGGGACCTTGCCAAAGCCTTCCCGAGGACGTGGAGGGATGACTTCCTCACTCAAATATCTCTCCAGTCGAACCTACAGCATGGAGGACGCGCTCTCCTGGCTGACATATTGGCGTGGGACTCGCCGACCATCACGCTTGCTGGCTTCTCAAGGCTTATGAAAACCGAAGGGGTGCCTGAGGGTGGGGTCGTCGGACCCGCTGGCTTCAACACCTGGCTCAACTCCCTGACCCTCTTCTTGCTTGAACATGGTCATGGCGTGGGCCTGAGCAGCGAAGTGCCTGGAGCGTGGCGTCATGTACAATGGTCGTGGTGCGGCGTGCCAGACGAAACTTGGGTTACTGACATACGCCAAGGGCTCCTTGGCAAAGGGGAGCTCCCCAGTGTGGACCTCATACAACAGGACTCTTCTTGTATGGCCTCCTGTCTTAGGGCAATGGACTTGGGTGCACCCTCCAGACTGGTACTTGTACTACATGCTGACGACCCAGTATTGCTCTCGTCAAGCTCGGGGGCCGCGCAAGCTGCTCTGGACTGCATGGCTAAATGGGCATTTTTGCACAAGGCGGCATTTCACGTAGGCCCTGACAAAACAGTTGCACTGGTTCCTGACTCAGCCGTGGGGCCGGGGCTAGTCATGAATATTCCTGGCAAGCTGCCGTGCGCCATTCATGATAAACAGCGCCATCGCTGGCTGGGCCTTTTGTGGCCGGCTGACCTGGACTTCCTCCCGTGCCTCTCTGCTCAACTTGGTCAAGCTGGTCAAATTGTCGCCAACATTACAGGCCTCATGGAATCCGGGGGCTTGCCGCTGTGCTTTGCCCTAATGCTCTTCGAGGCCAAGGTGGAGGGTCTCCTTCGTTTCGGCCGCTGGCTTCTCGCTACTTCTGAAGGCGCTTTGGATATGTACGACAAGGCCTTCAACCGCTGGAGCTGTGCCTTGCTCGGCAGCCCGCCCTGGAGGTCACCCGCTGTGGCACATCTGGAATTAGGTTGGCAGCTCATGGGCCGCCACCGTGCTGTTCTTGATGTGGCGAAACGAAGGGCAAAGCTGTGGTGCATGGCAAATGAGGACATCTACGCCCAGATGTTTCGCAGGGCCTTGGCCTGCCCGGATTCATGGTCTGCCAAAAGCCTGGAGCTCCTCAAGCAGTATGGCATCCCGGACTTCCCAGAAGCAGGTTGTTGCTCGCTCGCTGCTTATGCCAGTCTTGTCCGGTCTCGCCTTTGTTCTGCTGCTGTCTCCTCCCTTGTGCTCTCCTGCGCGTCGCACTCCGTGCCGTTCCCCTGGTCGGTCCTCTCGTCGGGTCCCTCCTCGGCTCCTGCCTCCCTGCTGCGCCTGCGCCTCCCCTGGTCTGCTCTTGTGGGTCATCGCGCCCTCTGTCAACTCCGTGCTGGCACGGTACACCTTTCTCACGTCGATGGCCACCGCTCGGCTGCCAAGGTAAGGTGTTGCGTGTTCTGCGGGAAGAAGACCTATGCGCCCTATATCCATGTGTTAGGTGAGTGCTTCGTAAGCCTCTCTCCAGGCCTGCCGGACCCGGGTCCGAACCTTCCGCCAAGGGACCGCGCGCGGTTGCTCTTAAATGTGCAGGCCTCCAACGCTATGTTTGCCGATGTGGCGCATGTGGCACTGATGATTGTGCAAGAGAGCATGGCGTTCTGGACAAAGAAAAGGCATGCGTATCCCTGCTGTGCCCCCTCCCGAGTCCGGCTTGCCTGTCTCGTGTGGGGAAGGTGATGGTGCTCCACACCCTCGATCTGTCGCGACTACGTCTCGCGTCCGCTGAGGTGTGTTTGGGGCAGGGGACCATCCCCTTTGCGCACCGCCAATAAAACATGTCCTGCTGCTCCCTTTGCCCCACTACCCACCATCTGTCCGTGTGGGGCCCACATGTGTCCCTCTCTGACGATCTGTGGGTGTTGGGTCTGGATCTGCAGAGGGGGCTCCCCTGCCTCCACCCACTGCCCGGTCCGCGCCTGCTGACTGGCAACACCACCACCACCACCACCTATAGGGTTACGGTTTTTTCAGGGTTTATCAACCCTAAAAGCTATGAGGGGTTAAAGGTTTAGGGTTGAAGGTTCAGGGCATTGCAAAAACATAACCCTAAACCCTCAGGGATTTAACCACTTTACTGTTTTCCTTAAGCCTTCAGGCATATAGAGTTTAGGGCTATAACGCTAAAATCTATAGGATTAGCACCTTATACCCCTATATATTGTAGGTTTTGAGGCCTAAATCCTAACCGTAAATCCCATAGTGTTCTGCCTATGTTTGTAGGCCTCGCCTCCTGTGGAAATGCAAAGGAAAAGTAGAATAAGTACCCACTGCATGTATGTATATAGGGTATATGTATTGCATATCAAATACAGATAATGGAGATCCTCGAACCATAAGACTAGGAAGTATTCGAGCGCAAAAGGTGATGCGGAAAAATCATGTACTGTAAGCCCCGGGGACGCGAGAATACTATGAGCAAAGACCTTTTCACTATTTCCCTCTTAATTGCCGGTTCGGTGTCTTGGGTTGGTGCAGGATCGGTTAGCTATTGTTACGAGGGACTAGATCGGAAGGGATTCTGGATAGTAAAAGCATGAAAAAAAGGGCAGATCTCTGGGGGAAGCATATATATATATATGTGTAAATATATTGTATTTATTTTTTTCATTTTTGTGTATTTCTTTCTGTACTTCTTACAATATATATACAACAAAATATCCGTATATTTATATTTACATTTATATTGATATTGACACCGATACTGATATTGATATTGAGAGAGAGAGAGAGAAAGAAAAAGAGACATAGAGAGAGAGAGAGAGAGAGAGAAAGAGCAAGACCAACCGCAAGAGAAAGAAAATAAGAAATGGAAAGGTGAAGGAGAAAGAGAAAGAAAGGTGAACGGGCAAAAGAAAGAGAGAAAGAGGGGGAGATAAAGAGAAAGAAAATGAGAAAGAGAAAGACAAAGTGACGGAGAAAGACGAAGACAAAGACAAAGAGGAAGAGGAAGATGAAGAGAAAATGAAAAGACAAAAACAAAAAGAAAGAGCAAGAGCAAGAGAAAGAGCAAGAGAAACAGAAAGAGAAAGAGAAAGAGAAAGAGAAAGAGAGAGAGAGAAAGAAAGAAAGAGAGAGAGCAGACAGAGAAGAGGGAGCAGAGATAGAGAAAGAGAGAAGAAAGAAGAAATGGAGGAGAGAGCGAGAGAGAAAGAGAAGAGAGAGCAGAGAGAGCAGAGAGAGCGGAGAGCGAAGAGAGAGAGGAGAGAGAAGAGAGAGAAGAGGCAGAAAAAACAAAAAACAAAGAGAAGAGCTGAGGGCTTAGGGGTTTAGGGTCTAGGGTTGAGAGGGCTTACGGTCTTGGGTTTAGTAATTAGGGTTTAGGTCAAATGCAACCGAAGCCCGCCCCCCCCCCCCCCCGCCGACACCTCTCAAGCGATCTCAGTCCCACGCACAACTTGTAGGTACTGTAGGTGTGAGGATGCTGCATGCCAAGGTTCAGGGTTTCGATTTTTGGTGGACGTGGGCCGGCCCGCGCCGCTAGGCCTAAAATAATATTTTTAAAAAATCATACTATGATATTTTGCGAATCGCCGGGGCTCCTCAGGTTCCAAAGCCCTGTCGTCGGCGTCCCAGTGCTCCTGTAAGGGTCTATGGAAAAGTCCTGGGGTTTTGGGGTATGGTTTTCTTGGGATTTGGCGATGGCCAAGGCTTCGTTTGGACGGGTTTTGTCACGATCTCGAGTGTGCATGTCTTTCTGGATTCAGAACTCCACATGATGGGCATGAAGAGCACAACTGCGTGCAGCGTGGCCTGATTCTTGCAAAGCACTGCAAAGCACATGCTCCCGAACACTAAGCCCTAAAGCGAACGCGAGACACGTCCTGCCAAGCCACAAGCTCGGGCTCCAAGCGTCTCCGCAGATCACACCTCGCCTCCTGTCGCAGAGTAACACACGTAAAAGGAACAACCTCGAGCAGTGTCTAAGCACTCAAGGTGCCATGTCTGCCTTTGCTCAGCCGGGAGGGTGCTTTGTTTTGGTGATTCTGTCAGGCTCTACCAGCACCTCCAAAATACCTGCAAGTTTGCTTTGTCAACTCCAGGTATTTAAGTAGTCTATAGTCTCTAAAACAAAGAGCAACCCCAACCCCGTCTGTGCATGTTTGCGCGCTGTGCGTTCTCGGCCCACCCCCCCCCCCCACTCCCACGGTCTCCCCCATCCCCCTTACACCCTAAAATCCTAAGCCCTACAGTAAACCCTAAACCCCAAAACGCTACAACCCTGAAGCCCTAAACCCTTAAGCCCTAAACCCGGCATTAAAACCTTAAACCTTAAAACTTAAAACCCCAAACCCGTAAAACTTGAAGGCGTAAGCTCTAGAAAGCCTAAAGCCCCTAGATCCGACACCTAAAACCAATCCTAAGATCCACACCACAGGGGGCGGGGGATGGGATGGAGAGGTGGGGGGGGGAGGGGCGTCTTCTGGGGCGCAACCATGGCTAGGTGGCCGGTTTCCCCCCACAAAGGTGTCGGGTCTAGGCCTTGGAGTTGAAGGTTTGGATCCTTTCATAATCCAGCACACCCCAAACAAGGACCATCAATTTAGAGAACTGCCCTTGTGCTCAATTAAGGAACGCAACCCGATTGTGAAGAGCAACCCACTAAGCAGCGAAACCAGCCCAAACCCTACAAACCCCAAGCCCTGAAAACTCTCAAATCCCAAGCCCAAACCCGAACGCCCAGAGCTTTGAACCCTGCCTCTAAACGATGAGAATACTAAAGGCCCCTGAATACCCTAAACATCCCTAAACCCGAAAAAGCCTTAACGGTATCTAACAAACCCAAAAGCCCTTACAGCCCCCAACAGCTCGAAACAAGCAAACCCTCTAAAGTCCCTAAGACAGCCTAAGACCTAAACCTTAACAGCCTTAAGAAGCCTTAAGAAGCCCCCCAGATCTGCACTCATCAACACTCTGGGCCCGGGAGCCTGCCGCAGATGGCCCGGCAAGCGGCCCAGGAGATCCGTGATGGCTTGGACATTCAAGATACCCTGAGAACAAAACGAAAAGTTCAGGGCTTTCGAAACGTTAGGACCGTTAGGATGCTTTGGGGGTTTAAGGAGGCAGCTTTAGGGCGCAGGGCATTCATGAAGTACCCCCAAAACCCTCCGCGGGCGGTAGGGTGCCCTACTGCCGGATCCGAATGTATTCAGCCGGCCGTGGTAGGGGTTCAGGCGTGAGTGACGGCTTTGGTGCCTTATCCTTTCCCAGTTAAACCCTTGACTCGACTCTATCTGGCCTCTTGACTGTCCTGTCTACCTTTCCTGCTAAATCTGTCCTGGTCCCTGTCCTGCCTACTGTCATGTCCCCCTATCTCGCCGAGTGATAGTGGCGCACTCCCGGTGAATGTGGGAAGAATCATCCTAAAAATCTAACAACCCCACTGGCCAACAATATAAGAAAAGCCGGGCGGGTAGTCCACAGCAGCCCGAGATTCGAAACAATCACAAAAAAGAAATAATAACAAAATAAAGGGTTCAGAGTTCAAAGCCCAATGATTTGAAGGTCTCAAACCTAAAGCCTCCAGGCTCCAAGGCTGCAGCCCGAAGGTGACCCTCCCGGAGAGGATTGTCTGCATCACCCAAACTCAATGTGAAACAGGATCAAGTGCAGTGGGCCCTGAAACTGGTATGGCTATAGGAGGGGCATCGGGAGGCATAGGCTAGTGTGAATCGTCCGGAGATTCGGGGGAAATGCCACCGATGCTGACCACCTTGGGCGGTGAAGGTGCACATCAGGTTACGCAGGTGCCCGGGCGATACCTCCGGTCTAAAGGCTAGAGCTGGTATGCCACTTACAGGTGACGCATTGCCACGGGGAGTGGTCGCTGGGGACTCCCCTGTTGAAGGGTCGTTCGTAGCACGGATTGCCGACCACAGCCGAGATGGGCCTGCTGGGTTCAAGCCTCCAACTGTTGTCGAGGGTTGGGATTTTTCCGCGTAGCTTGCACTGATGCAGGAACCCGCAGTGTGGCAAGACTCACACGTGACGCCACCACGAGGAGGAGGCGTTCAGGTTCCACAGGCATCAGGTGCCCAGGCG